GGGCGGCTCAGTCCGTTAAGCGTCTGCCTTCAGCTCAGGTCGTGATCTCAGGGTCCTGGGATGGAACCTCAGGTCGGGCTCCCTGCTCCGCGGGGAGCCTGCTTCTCCCTCTGCCTCTGCTGCTCCCCCTGCTTGTGCTCTCCCCACCTGTCATATAAATAAATTAAAAAAAATTTTTTTTAATTTTATTTATTTTTTTAAGATTTTTGTTCATTTATTTGAGAGAGACAGACACAGCGAGAGAGGGAACACAAGCAGGGGGAGAGGGAGAGGGAGAAGCAGGCTTCCCGCGGAGGAGGGAGCCCGATGCGGGGCTCAATCCCAGGACCCTGGGATCATGACCTGAGCCGAAGGCAGACGCTTAATGACTGAGCCACCCAGGCGCCCTATAATTTTAAAAAAAAATTTTAAAAAAAGAATACAAAATGTTCTCCATAAATATATCCCTGAGAGAATAGAGTCAACACTTCAGGGGAGAATGAGGACAGCAAATTTCAAAAAAGAAAATGAGTAAGAATCCTATTGCTTCTGATTTGTACATTACATTCAGGAAAGAGAACTTTTTCACATAGCCCAGCAAAAAATGTTGGAATATGTTAATGTGAAAGAAGAAAGAACATTTACACGCAGATAAGGACAATGATGGAAAATCATATTTGTTCCAGGATTACTCCAACATTTTCTTTCAGGACATTTAAACATCTTTCAGTGAATCAGTGATTTCAGTCTCTTGAAGTCAGACTTGGGGAAACGTACTAAACACACCTGTGAGAAAACACACTTCTGAACAGAAAGGCAGTTTTTATAACCTCAAGAGTGACAGAGACAAAATGATCAACATCTTCCCAAGAGACAGTGTAAATATCAAGAGTGCTAATAAGCGGAGGCGACGCCCTCGTGACAGAAGGTGTGGTATGTGTACAGTTTCCAAATTAGAATGAAATCATGGCACTTACACAGTAGCAGCCGTGTTAGTTACATGTAATGTTTGAAAAATATGACAACCATCTCAATCTCCTCAAGTAGCTTTCATGGTAAGGGTGAAATTTTATCAACATTGGTTAACTTATGGTGTATTAGAAAACTAGCAAGAAGATAAATTGATGGATTAAAAGATAAACTGCTCACAGGCAGACAAACAGAAGGACAGATAGAGTTACAATCAAACGTGTACTTTACTCAGACAGAAAGGTAATAACTAGCCCCAAGAAGTGACGGGTCTGCTAGGAAAGGCTTGAACATAGAATTCTCGGACTTTGTTTTTAATTTAGTTCTCACAGTGTCATGCTGCATAACTGAGGATAAGTCTCTAAAAGTCTCTAGGATATTGTTTTCCATCTGTTAGATGAGGCTAATAATATTTTCATATAGTTTTTTTGAGGGTAAAACACATATGAAATATTTGAAAGATTCTGGAAGAAATGCCCCCTATTAATTGGAGCTATTTGATATGACATCATTTCCTTCAGTAATTGGAGTTCAGTCAATAGACAGAGATGCAGTGTATATATGAAATGATGAAGCATCCAAATGCATTATGAAGGGAACTTAGGGGGTTCTTTGCTAAAAAGGGTGACTGGCTATTTTTCTGGGAGTAATTTTAACATAAGCTGAGGGAGGAGGTCACCCTCTAGATCCTTTCCAATTCCTACTGTCTATGGATCCTAATTTCTCTTGCCCATTTAGAAAAATGTTGAGTAAGAAACCCACAAGATAGAGAGGGAAAATAAGACTGTGCTTGCCCTCAAACTTTACTTTCAAAAATACCATAGAATTCGCAAGGGATAGTCTGGATTCCTGTAACAGCACAGGAGGAGATCCCCCTTAAAATAATATCAACTACCAGTTTTCATTATATGAACCACTTCTCATGCTACCTTACTTTACACACAGCACAAAGGAATAAGAGAATTTTTGCCAGGAAACAGGAAACTGTATTCTTCTTCCATTTCTTCTTCTCCTGTGCTTCTTAAAATTGGGAAGCCCACACATAACACTTACATTTATCTATCCCTTCTGGAAAAGGTTAAAATGAGCCCATTTTAAATCATTTTTGATAATGGGACAAACTTGAATTGGGAACAACCTTTTGGACCAGTACGAGGTCTGCTGTGATGAAATGGACCTTGTAGATGGCTCACCAGCATTCTCTCCTGGCTCACATTCTACCACACAACTAGAATATGGGCCTGCATTGGGTACCCACAGATGACTGTGTCCTTGAGATCATTATCTTTCCCCTTCATTTGTCTCCTGACACCCATCCCCCTAAGGTTTCTTCTTCAGCACAGGAAGTCAACTTCCTTAAAATTTCAAATGATTTTACTACAGTAATAAAGGCAGTAGGGTGCAAACTAGACAGGTGGGTACTGATAGGTAAAATCTCATTTCTCCTTTGAGTTTGGCATGGGTTAGCACCAATAACCAGATTCTTAACAGGTTTTTCTACATTTCCCTGCCCCACTCCATTTGCATGTTCTTGCAATGTGGATGTCCCTATTACTCAGTCCTTACTTGCATTTCTTTTTGGTTTTAGGATAAAACTACTCAAACTTCAATTTTGACATTTTTTTCTCCCTTGGAATATCTAGGAAAGAGTTCTTGTAAACTAGATTTCTGAGATCTTATACTAGGCTTAGGCCAACCTGACAATCTGAGCACTAATTTTCCTACTGTTCGGAAATATCCCTGAACTTATCTTTCTCTTTCCTAGAATGACCTGCCCAGGACAAATAGTAGAGATTGGTTTTTCTGTTCTCTTTAATTCAATCATTTCTCTTTTCCTCCTCTCTAGCACGTAAAACATTTCTGACTCTCTCCGTCCCCCATGTAATATATTTGCCTTTCTTATCTCTTCATTTTCCTTTTGTTTTTTCAAATGTTCCACCTGGAAGTTCTATATTTCTTTCCCCCAGAGGATTCTAACCCTCCAGTTATGGTCACTATCAGTTCAGTGTACTAATTAACATTTGGGACTTTGGAGATAGACAAACCTAGATTCAAATTCCCACTGTGTCACTTAACACCTGTGTGATCCAAAGTAATCTCCCACTCACTCTGCACTCCAGTGGTTAAAATCTAGCTGACTGTGGGCCAGTGACATAATCACTCCAAACCTCACTGTCCCCATTTGTAAAATGACAGTGCCTACCTTATAATGTTGGTGCAAGGAATAAATATGATGATCAACACAAAACTGTTTAGAATGATGGCTAAACAAACTAAGCACCCTACCGATATTCGTTATTACCTTTATTACTAGTGTAGATCCATACGGTGTATACCAGGTTTCCTCTCTTCACTTTGTCCGCAATACAAATGCTATTATTTCTTAAACCCAGACTTCATCATACCTCATTAGCTAGAGGCTTTCCCTCATGGTCCACATGAAGTTTAGAGTAGAAAGCTGGGGGAGCTCCAAGCACTGCCAGACTTTTTACACAGTCAGAGCCATTTAAACACATCTGAATCTGAGTTTTGATGAGTCCTCACTCGTCCCATCTCTTCTGTGTGCAGGTTTCACCTAAATACACCAAAACCTAAACACTGAGATTATGATAATAATAAGAGAGCTGCAACTACAAAACATCATTGAACCAGAGACTTTCTATAAAACCACATGGTGAAGACCACAAGGGGAGAATCGACATACACATCAAGTGCTTCAGGATCCCACAATGGGGGAGGCAGGCTCCAATTAAAGAGAGATGCAGGTTGGGAGATCTGACCACTGCATCAGTCACTTCACTGACTCTGGCTTGTTAAAGCTGCAACTTCCAACACCTCCTTCCTCCTTCCTTGCTCTAAAGTCCATTCCTCCACAAATGAGAGCCCGTCAAAGAGAATATCTTCTGTGAGAGAAGCTGTTCCAGTTGCTGCAAACTCTTGCTAGAAATTCCAAGAAAGTTTACCAGGTACCTTTATAGGATGATGGGGAGTAAAGCATTTCAAGTACCAATTATGAGGCGAGAAAGAACTTAGCTTTTCGATTTTGTTGTTTGAGGTAGTGGTGATGATGAAACCCAACTTGCTTCCCCCAAAAGTAAAGGGTATACATATAGCACTACAAATTATTACTTGTAACAATCAAAATGGAAGTTCTGAAGTGAAAACTGGGAGCTGTGTATATTAAACTAATTTTTTTGTTATTTGAAAACCAAGATTATGGGGCAGAAAGACCATTTTGACATCAGCACAGAAAGTTGAACTTTCCTATAATTAATGTAGACAGTGATGTCAAGTCTGGTAAAGACTTGCAAACCCTCACAGCTTATCCAAAGCAAAAACAGAACCAATACTACACTCCTGAACTTACAGAAACAGTCAACTTAAGGGGTTTACCCACCTGAAGGTGTCTCTGTGGCTTTACTTTCTGAAGTTGCCGTCCGAAATTAAATTCTGTATAGCTACTTTGAATAGAAACTCAGATGAGTCAAAGTGCATGAAATAGAGCAGTTTGTGTCTAATTCCCACTGTTGTAAATGAAGTAAAACCACTGTAGACCTTGGGGGTCTTCTTTTCACTGATGATCCAAAGTATTTATCCTCCCTAATGCTGATAACCATGTTGACCTATCCTTTCCTGTCTAATTCTGTGTGTACTAAAACTAGGTAGTTACAAACAAAACCCTGAGACATAATTTGCATTTGAATGAAATAATCCTGAAATTATTCTGCTTTTTACTGTGGCATTACCTGTGGGCCTCCCACTTGCAATGACTCAGTGCAGATGATGGCCAGAGCTGATTGAAGAACCCTGAAATTGGGGATTCTGATTCCTGATGCAATCTATATTCCAGTCTTCTACATTAGTTTCTCTTTATTCACAGGTTGGTAAAGAATGCAGGTGGAGATGCTGTGGGCACATTTGCACACATGTTCAAACTGCTTTGAAAATGGAATGGGCAAGAGAGTGGGTATCCAAGTTAAAATCAGGCAGGCATTTCCGACTTCAAGAGACAACTGAAAAGGGAACATCTGTTAGATCCCCTGGGTTGGAGGGCAGTCTGTGTAAGTCTTCATATCTCTGAGTGTGTGCACATTGTGGAGAGGGTGGAGTCTTCCATCCTCAAATCTAAAAAGATTGAGAGATTTCGGAAGGCCCAGATGTGCCAAAGGTCAGAGGGATCAATACACAGACCTTACCACTGGAAGGGGTGGAGGGGGGGAGGGAAGATTCGACTAGAAAATCGCTACAAAAGGGAAGCCAATGAGAGGTAAGGGAGTTTCTGAATAATTAAAAAGTTAAGAATAAGCAAACTCAGTTGCCATGGGGGAAGGAGGTGGGGGATAAAAAAAAGCAGTTGATGTGGTAATTAAGAATTTGGTGAGAGCCTGGGCAGGTCACCTCCTTTCTCAGATCAGAGCCCCATCAGAAATTCTTTCAAGTGTCCTTCTGCGTCGCCAAAGATGACAACAGCAAATCAATAAGTGCTTGAAATGAAAGGGGTTGTTGGCGAGCCCCCAGGCTACAGATTTCCCGCCGCCTGCCTTTTCTGAACTCCTAGCGTGCCTTTGCACCGCCTCTCTTAAGAAGAGCTACCTTTTATTCCTATTCTCAGGACGAAGGTGAGTGCTCAGTTAGCATATCTATTAAATGTCCGCTCTAGTTCCAGCTCTGCGGGCGCGCCGAGAGAGCGCTTAACGTAGTTCGCCAGCCGGACTGCGAGGCAGGAGGCAAGACTGGCCAGGCCGTCAGGGGGCCACACACCTCCGGGGCTGGCCCAGCTTCTCCCACGATTTAGCACTGCGGGGTTACAGCCGAACGGTCTCTGCCAGAGCAAAGGGCCTGAGCGCGACCGCGGCCACCAGAGCGCTCCTGCTACTTCATTTATTTACAAGCAAGCACAAAATCATTAACAACAGGAAAGAACCAATGCTCCAAAATGAAGGCTCGGAATCACCGGAAACTCCGTTCTGAGTTCCAGGCCGCTCTGCTACCCTTCCAATATTCTTCCCTCCCCTAGTATGTCTCGATTTAACCATCTTTCCAGAGCCCAACATCTCTGGGACGTTTTAATTAGGTAATTCATTAGCGAGTCAATACAGACATTTATATATTCTTTTAGCTCGAGTGGTTAAGTACTAATTTCGAAATGATTATAAAACACCGGAATAGGCAACGCATAATAATTTTAATTTATATGCAAATCAATTGGTTCATCTTAATGCCTCTAAAAAAAAAAAAAATCATTGTATTGTAGCATCGGGGGTACGGATCAAAGCGACCGAATGGACAATTTGGAAACCGGACCTGGACTAGGGTGAAATTTTAGAACAGCCAACAAATCAATAATGTTTGAGGCAGTTAAACATCTCTAGCCATTGGTATTTACATACTCGCTTGTTGTCAGATAAGGAGGTGGGGAAATTGCTTGCCCGGGCTGAGATCATAATCCAGAGTGAAGAAAGTAAATGATAGCACGCACCCCGTCACAGCGGGCTCTAAAATAATACTGTACCTTTCCCCAATGCTGACTCTTGGGTGAGAGTGAGTTGATGGAGGTCACCCCCCATTCTTCTCGGTTTTGCTCCAATTTGATCACAAAATTGTAGTCCTCCCCGAGCTTCACAATTTGATTCTTGTTCTAACAGTTGTCACCTGCTTCAAAATATTAGAGGGAGAGATATAACTCAGAATCTCACTAAAAATTCTCTGAACCCATTTAACCAGCACCGCTCTTCTCATGTTGATGGGGGTGGGAGGCTATGTTTAATTCCCTGTGTCCTCCCCCACATTAAATTAGATAACCAAAAAGACGGGGGAGAGGGGGTGACGGCTGTGGGAAATGATCCAGTGCACTGGCTTATTGGAAGGTTATTACCTTTAGACATAGATAAAAATTTTGGAAAAGTAAAGAGAATGTATTCTTCCGGGGAAAACAAAAATTTGAGAGATTCTAGAACAGTGAGTCTCACTGGGGATTACCAGAAGATCCACCGGAGTTGTTTACGTAAAAAGTGTAACATCCTTGAAATTCACAGATACATAAGGTCAGTGTCTCCCCACCCCCGGCTCCCAGCCCAGGCGATCTGGCCCTTAAGGAGCTGGTACCTTTGATGCTACAATCTTGTTTACATCTGCAGGGCAGGGAATTGCTTGCTTTGCTTGGACGCTCCCTCCACCCCCTTCTAATTTGAAGTAATAGGAATCTAAATACAATCGCCACGGCCCACTCTTCCATTTCTGCTCTGACGAGAGAAAAACCTGAAATCCATGTCTTAAATCAGCTCGGTGGTTTGTAGCCCCCCAGCACCCTGCCTCTCTGCTGCATGCCTAATGTATTCCCTAGTGGTTCTGGGCATTAATTAGTTGTTTAATAGGAGTATGACTAAAAATGTAAAAGAAGGATTAGGAGCGTGAAACGTATGTCCAGCTCCTTCCACACACTCGAGGAGGGAATGAGAATCATTCTGTATCTTCTATTTCTCCAGGAGCCATTAGCATTTCCCACCAGCTGCTCACTTCAGCTGCACTGGCGCTGGGCGAGGCGAAGACCCAAAAGCTCAGCGCGATGTCTGAGGCGGCCGGGACTGGGGTTAACCAGCCCCTGGCGGACGAGACTTCAGACAGAAGGTGGGGTGAGGGGAACGTGAGCTTCCAGGAGCCCCATCATCCCAGACCCGGTTTGCAAACCTCTGAATCTTGAAAGGGGGAGGGGGTTGCACACGCTATCTGCGCGTCTCTCCAGCGCTGCCCCTTTCTCTTTCCCTTGTCTCTCCGCCAGTCTCTGAATCTTCCTGTCTCTGATTTTTTCACTCTTTTCCCACTTTTCCATGGGATTCCTCATCCTCGCCACCCGATGAAAGGAGGTCGTTCTGCTAGGAGCGTCTCTTAATCTCTATAAAATGAAAAGAAAAAAAGGAGGGAGGACATTAACTCATTACTCAGGGGATGGGGAGACAGCAAAAATCGTTGATGGATAGAGATGAAAATGTCTTTCTCTGACTACATTCTTTGGTTTGCTGTGACTTTAGATTTCAGTTGTGGGACTTGAAGAAATTTGATTTTCTGGATTCAGCAGGATTTCAAAACCCAGAAATAAAAATTCTCGGGAACGGAGGGGAAATAAAAATAAAAACAGCACTTGGGCATTTCCCCTTCTTTTCTCTCCCCTTAAATATGACTGTCTTGAATTTCCAATGGGTAAAGAGAGAAAGTTCTAGTTTTCATGGATGTTAGGTGGAGGTTAGAAATGGCTTTAAAATGTAGATCTCCCAGTCAGTTTTCTTCGTGGCTGAAGAGGCTAACCCTTTCCATAAAATGAGTCCATCTGTCGACTGTTAGCTATTTCAAAGTGAAGGGATTTAGCACTCAAAACAAATTGAGCAAGTTTGTTTGCCTGTTTTTACTGCTAACTCAAATGAATTCAAAACACGGAGTAATTCAAGAAAACACATAACATGTTCCAGACAGCCCCCAAATGTAGGGAAAGCCCAGCACCTATGTGGTGACCTGGGTTATTTTAAACGCCATGCTTTTTGTAATGTATATATTTCACACATGTTGTCCCAACAAGTCATTATATTTTCCTAAAATTGAGAGAACTGGTATACTGATTCAGGAAGAACAATACAACTTTTAGAGGGAACTTTATTCTCTATTGAAGACCAAAGGAGAGGGCTCTTTAATGGCCGGCCTGGGAGAGTGTTGTTCCTATGCAGAAATTAATATTTTGATGGGAAAACCAAACCGGGGGCTATGATTGCTTTCCGCCGCTTTCCAAAAACATACGTTAACACGAGGCCCTTGAAATTGAAAGAACTTTGTCTAGTATGCCTGGCAGAAGCCTTCACACCTGGTCTTCCAGACGAATCATATTTATAGTCCTTACACCCAAAGGCAGGACAGGGCAAAAATATCCTGCTGGCTACCAAAATACACGCCCTTGCTCCAGTCAAGAAATCGGAAAATCAGCGTTTAGATGTAAGGCACACTTTTCGAGTGAAAATGACTCCTCTAACTTCACGTGTTCTTCGATTTTTAGGAGCAAATGTGGATTTGAGGGTAGCTGCCCTTCCCACCCCCACCGCCATCCCTTGCAATTTAATACCATGCTCGCCAGGAACCTTAACCTCGTCATTTTAAAAAATGAGATATCCGTGACCCGGGGTGAACTTGTTGAGTGTAGGTACAGCAGAGGAAATTCTAGACTCTATGAACGCCGGAGCCTTGCCCAGCGCAATCCCTTCCTGTACACTGGTCTGTGCCCGACCGTGCCCACCTGCGCACGGACACAGGGCGCAGCGTGCTTGGTCCACCCGCCTTGACCTCGGGCGCGGTGTCCCGGCCGGCAGCGCTGGGCCAAGCATCTCGGCCTTCCCCGGCCGGCTAGTCTCGCTCGCTCCCGGCTGTCGCCCTCCCAACCCTCTTCCCTACCCTCCGCCCGCTCGCCCCACTTTTCCTGATTTCTCTTCAGCCATCCTCTCACCCCCACTCCGCCTACTTTCACCCCAGCCTCCTGTGCGCCCCTCACTTCACTACCAGCCCCACTCCTCAATCCCTCGTTTCCGTGACCTCTTCTCTCCACCCTGCAGGCCTGCAAAAAGGTCACATACAGGCACTCTCATACTCACACCCCACATGCCTCGCCCCAAGCAAACCCATGCACTCTGTCCTTTGTTCCGTTTCTTGGGCCACTTTCCCTGTCCCTTCCTCCGTCCTGCTTTGCTCCCCAGGAGTACGTTTCTGTCTCTCGGACGCCCTGGTCCTCCCCCTCTGATTTATGAGCGCTCCGGGTTCGGCGCAGATTCCTTTTGCTTCTCCTCCATCCCACCCTCCCCTCCTGTCCTCCTGTCCTTTCCACGGTAGGATTGCTTGCGCCAGCGGCTCGTCTGCTCCTGTCTCAGAACCCTGCCCGGCTCCCTGCCCCTCTTTCGCTCTCGGGGCTCTTCCTCCGGCTCCCGACTCTCTGGCCGGCGGGCCTCACCGCCCTGCCCTGCCTCGCTCCTCGTCGCCCCTGCCCGCTCCCCCCCCGGGCTAGCCCGAGCGCTTTGCTCGCTCCTTGAACGCCCGCCGCGCAGCCGGGCTCGGCTGCCCGCCCGCCCGCCACTGTGCAGTGGAGTTTGGTGGAATCTCTGCTGACGTCACGTCACTCCCCACACGGAGACCGAGCTGAGGGAAGAGAGAGGGATGAGAGCGAGGGAGGGGAGAGAGAGTGCGAGACAGAGAGAGAAAGCTGGAGAGGAGCAGAAAGAAACTGCCAGTGACGGCTAGATTCCCGCGGCCACCGCGCACCCGTGGACTCCCTCGGAACTTGGCACCCTCGGGAGCCCCGCAGTCCTCTCGGGCTCGGCTTTCAGGCGCTTGCGGTGCTGCCTGCGCTTCGGCTTGCTGGAAATCTCCCCGGGAAGCGGTGGGACGCGGAGACAGCAGCTCTCTCCCGGTAGCCGGTAAGTGGAGGCCGTCTCTTTCGCAGGGATGTGAGATAATGCGAGTTTGGAAATTTGTTCCACTTTGGAGAATCTTCACCGTAGGTGATTTGTGGTTCTCGGGGCTGCCTTTACCCCCCGAGGTAACTCTGTTGGCAAACAGACCTTGCAAAACCCTGTTCCTCTTGTCCCCAGTCGCTGACACTAGAGTCTATGGGGTTGCTGAAGTCGAGTGGGAAGCGAGACCATGGCTGGCATTTAAAAAACGAGGTATCTTCCCTTAAATCTCGGTGCCAACACTGCAGGGACAAATCCTCAGGCTGAGGATTAGCATTCTGAAGATAAAGGGCCGGGTACAAAGTTTCAGCTACTGGAAGATTAGCCCCCTTCCCATTGTTACCAATTGGAAAGAAGATTCCATCTTAACTGGCAGTTAGTGACCTCTCAGGCCCAAGCGAATTACCTGGGAGCCAGGCCTGGATGCCAAGCTCAGACAATTACTTCGGATTATAAATCCTTTAAATTGATCACCAGTCAACTCCAATCTTGCACTTGAGGAGATACGTTTTTAAACGGTAAAGAGGAGAGGACTATTTTCCAAGTGTGGAGTAAGAAAAAAATTATGTTTCTAAATCTGGGACCTACGGTTCTCTTTTAATTCCAATTCAGTGACTTTACTTTCCTAGGTAATTTAGAAATCATAAGGTCGTATGTTATTTACTTTTTGTGTGTGTGTATTATGTCTTACCAAAGTAAACTAAATGAAAAAACTTTTACTATTATGAATTAAAATAATACAGGCAGTCAAACATTCTAAAGTATTTGTATGAAAAAATAATCTGATTTAAAGAGATTCCTTTGCATTTTTGGCCATTAATAAGAATTAAACATGGTTTTAATATAATTTTGGAGGAAATTTATCTAAAATTCAGATATCAGTTAAGTCAAGGAAACAAAGCACGTAAGTAAAACAGATTGAGGATTTTTATTGGTGTGACATAAAATAAGCATACAAGGTTTCAATAATCAAACATTCCCTAAAAATTAAATAGCTACTTCATTTATGGAATGTTTTACTTTACCTCAGCAAAACTACACGTAAATTATTCAGGTGCTTTGTTCCTCAAGTTGAGCATGTTTGTCTTCAAGTGTTCCTAAAGCATCAATATTAATTGGTTTAAAAGAAGGCTTAAACTGGTAAAATACAGAACTGTGTTAGGCAGTATTTTAATTTCCTTAAATGATTACCCACTGCAAATTAATTTACTGGCTAATCTCACCAATTTAGTTCATTTAAAACATATGTTCTTGTGCTGTTTATTTTTAAACTTTCCATTAAAGATTTTGTTATGGGTTAACAAAATAAATGGAAAGGGGAGAAATGTGAAAGGATTTGGAATTATTAGAACTATGTTTTGTCCTGCAATTTCCTCTTATCGCAATCATTAAAAATTATTTTTTTTTAAAGAAAATTGTTTTATTTCTTACGGCTTTACTGCCTGCCTTGGCCAGTGTGGTTCAGTGTGCTTCATTAACTAAATGGTGCTTCTTAGCATACTCACAATAGAAAACTCAAGTTAGCCAGAACAAGATTGCCTGGCATATACATTCAAACCAGGACAGGAACTTTTGGGGGTGAGAACAACTTCCCATCAAAAAAAGTTGCGCATCTTAATTTGTGAGATTAGCGGTGGAAGCTAGTCCCTAAATCCTACAGCCAAATTTGTCCATTAAGACTTGTCTTCCTTGACAGGGCAAGTTTAAGGATCAGCAGGCAGGAATCGGAGGTTATTTTTAAAAATTATCTTCCCTAGTTACTTAGATTCAATTCATCTAGTAGGCCTGGTAATTATATGAAGTAAAAAAAATAAATAAATAATGCAGGTCTCAAGTCTCATTTTGACTGCAAAATAAATCCCCAAGTCACAAGGACACTTAGGAGTGAGCTAAGAAACACGCCTTGACCTTCTTTTCATTGCTCAGAACAGAGTTCTTGAAGATTTGTTTTGTATTGCTTTGTTTGGTCTTCAGCACTGAAGCTTGGGAGTGGGGGGGAGAATGTGTAATAATTGACTGACTTTACACTGAGCGACCCCATCTTTTTCTTTTGTATATTTCATTCCTTAAAAAAAATAAAAAACGATTTGCAGTTACCATCTGCAATGCTTCGGCTACCCGCTAATAATGCAGCCCCTTCAGATGTTAAAAAAAAAAAAAAAAGATTATCGAATTGATGATGACATGCAAATTTCCCCTGAAATTATCATAAGTAAACATTTGAAGTCTGGACTAATAAAATCCCATCTGTGTTACTTCATATCGAGTTAGTAGAAAGCTGTGATAATGAATTTTGTAATATCTCACGAACAGACATCTCAATCAGGGACTAATCCTGTGATTTTACTGCAGAATCACTAAATCTGGAGCCGCCAAACTGCTACTTCTGGGCCCCCGGGCCTGCAAGGATCTGCAGAGCCCCCGCCCACGTCCCAGCTAGCGGGTGGGGGGAACCCCTGGATCCCCACGCCGCCGCGCTGGGCAGCCCCTCCTCTAAGCAGCGACCTTGGTCAGAGGCCCCCGAGGCCCGGCTAGTTCCAGGAGAGGCCGGGGAGCCGGGAAATACGACCCAGAGTCGAGCCAGACCCGCAGCTCCCTGCCCCGCCTCTGTTCTTGGGCCAAAGGGGCAACGCCCGCTCCTACCCTTAGCCCTGGGCCGGAGCGAAGTGGGCCCTCCCGCCGCCGGCGTACCCTGGTTAGCGTGAAGAGAGGCAGGCGCGGAGATCCGAAGGGCCTGGGGAGCCCGAGACCTTCTTTCTTTTCTTCTGTCTTTAAAGCAGCCGCAGCTCTTCTACCCACCCCGACAGGGTCTCTCGCCACCCACCTCCCCCGGTTTGCCTGTGGCGGAAAAGGGGGCGCGCGTTAAACGCTTGGCTCGCTGCGCTGTGGTTGGAAATTTGAAAAAGATTTGGTTTGCCAGGGACAATCGGGGGAGCCGTTCTCTACGAGTTATTTCTACGTCCTTGGTGGGAAGAAAACCCTCCGGACGTTTGCCCCGTTCCCCTCCGGCTCACTCAGTCCACCCCGTTTCGCTCCTCTGCGATCTTAAATCTTACTTTAGGGTAAATAAATGGCCGGGTGAGTATTTCCAGGGGAAAGTGTGGCTAAATATGGAAAAGTGGCTCCTGATGGATGAGAGGCCCGAAGCCAGCTCGCTCCTGGAGCACCCTAGGCCAAGAACCTTAGAGTCCCGTTCATTCCAGAATTACAGAAAATCGAGGACAACTGCCGTATAGGACAGTTACAAGTTGACTCTGATATTCTACAAAGGTTCACTGAGCTCCTACTCACGCAAAGCACTGTGCTTAAATGGGGGCCTTCCACACAACTTCCTTAAGAGACAGGTCCTCTTCACTCACCCCAAAATTTTGTATCTGCTAAGTTTGGCCCCGTGTTCAGACGGGCTCTTAAGCCCTGACACAAACATCTTGTGAGTAGCTCCACAGCCTAAGCCCCCCAGAACACGATGGATTTATCCGTCCAGAGCGCCTGGGCCCATTCACAGCAACTCCGCAGGGAGAGATCCGCTCAGGTCCATTCAGAAGTCCAGGACCGGGGGCTAGGGCGGGGCTGAGGCTGGACGGCCAGAGGCTGTCAAGTCAGAGAAACACGCCGGAAACCCAGCACAGAGTGGGCGCTTAACAGCGATTCTGAAGTAGTCCGTCCGCCCCACAGGTAGCCTCCCCTGAGCCCCGCACGCTCGGGGACCGCCGCTTCTCACAGCCCTCTTTCTCTTTTCTTTTGCAGATAACGGGGAATGGAGACCAACTGCCGCAAACTGGTGTCGGCGTGTGTGCAATTAGGTAAGGGTCGCTTCTCCCGCCCAGGCCACCCGACGGGGAGACCGCACCGCGGGAGGGCGGCAAGAGGGCACCGGCCCCCTGGCGAGGCAGCGGCGAGGGGCTCTTCCAGGAGGGGCCGGCCGGGACCGAAAGGGACGCAGAACCAGGACGCCGGTGGCCTCCCCCGGGGGCTCGGGGGGTGGGGGCGGCCGTGGATAGGGAGGGAGCCGCTCGCCGCGGCCCGACGCCCGGGGCCTACTCCTCCCGGAGAGAGCCGCTGGCAGCCAGGGAGGCGCGGAGAAGAGTACGCCGCCCTGCGCCGGGTTGCCAGGGGGTCCGGGAGACGGGAGTGCCCTCCGCCCTTTCCTCTAACTGGGTCTTTGCTCTTTGTCCCTTTTTCTCTTCTTCGTCCTGCTCCTCCCCCGCCTTCCCAACACCCCCGCTGCTTTCCGCGGCGGTCCCGGGCGTCCCTCTACCCGCTTGTGGGGCGGGCGCGCGTGGCCCAGGCGTGCAGCCGGCGGCCGTTGAATGCCTCTTCTCCAAAGACTCCGAAATCAAAAAGGTCGAGTTCACAGACTCTCCCGAGAGCCGGAAAGAGGCGGCCAGCAGCAAGCTCTTCCCGCGGCAGCATCCCGGCGCCACTGGTAAGGCCGGGAGCGAAGCGCAGGCCGCGCGCAGGGCACCCGCCTCCGGGCCTCTGGGCTTTGGGTAAGGCGCACGCCGGCGAGGCCGCCAGAGTCGGCGTGCTTGCTCCGTGACTGAGACACTTGGCCTCTGGGTGGGACGGGAAGCAGCCGTCCCAGGGACGTTAATTCCTTTCCCCAAATTATACTGCACTCCTGAGACCCAACACCTCTCCCTCTTGCTCTTTCTCGCTCTCTCCCTGTGGCCTGATCTTCTACCCATACCCCAACCTATCTCTGCGCCTCTGCCTGGCGCGGAAAAGTAGTCCAACAGCGACCTCTGTCGCCCGCCATGTCCCACTGCGTGCAGCACCACCAAGGGTCCACCCCGCCCCTGCAGCTCTCAGCGGTGCCCCGCCCAGGCTGGTGGGTGCGGGGGTTTACTACGGGAGGCTTGTGTTGGCAAAGATTCGCCTGGCCGGGAGGTAAAAGAGCTCACTGGAGCCGCGCGGAACCTCAGGGCAGCGACCGTGCGCAGCAGCCAGGGGTGTACTGAAGTGTGTGCCCCTGGGACGCGAACCTACCTGTTGTGCAGGTTGCAAGGCCTCGGGTCTTGGTCGTGTCGTTGCTTAATTAGCTGGTTTCATTGTGGACGAGTCAAGGGACACTGCTGCTCAAAGTCTGCAGGCTTGTGTAAAAGTTAAAACGCCTCCAACCCACTTCACAGGCTTTTGCTGAACTGAAACTTACCCTTTAATTGTGCGTGTGTGCGCGTGTGTGTGTGTCTAGGGATGAGGGGACAAGCTTCCCCTTAGAATACATGCGAAACTCAAACTTAACCGTTCTTCTGTTCTCCGGGTTTTCCAGGTTACTATAATAATAAGTGCCTAGCCTTAGGAAGTTGTTGACCTTTGATAGTGTGAGGAGATAAAGCCCCCCACTGCCCTCGGCTCCTAACCCCCTCTTTCCGGATTAAACTGTAAGGATACAAATGTAATGTGGGCCGGAGGGGGGCGAATTGGGACCCCCGCCAAGTAAACAAACCATATTACTAAGAAGAAAACAAAGGCCCTGCATTCGGGCTTCCCAGTAAATCTGAGAAAATTATCATTTGTCTAAATAAAACTTCTAAAGTGGTCTGGAGCAGAGCAGTCTCGACACCGCAATATCGCGAGTCCTCCTGCTGGGCCAGTTAAACGCTCACTTGTCCGGGATTAACCCCATGGGGTTAAATGGGGCCATGCAGAGATAACGTCGGGTGATTTCTGTCATTAAGGTTGTGTTAAATTCTTCCTCTGTTTGATAATCGGTCGTAAAAATAAATTATTAGACCGGAGTATGTTTAGGATAGGGTTAAAAATCAAGAACAGCGATGACTCCCGGGGAAATATTTTGTGCCGGTTCAGCCCTGGCCCTGGCGAGACTTGGGAGACCTCCCCAATCTCGCTTCGCCGGGGGGTGGGTTGGCAGCCGCGGAGCTGAAGCTGAGGTTTCCCGCTGCGCTGGGAGCAGGAGTGCTACAGAGGGTCTTCTATCCCCGCCCCAACCCAGGGCTCCCAGACCTCAGGAATGGTTTCTGAAGACAGGTGGTCTCCATCTGAGCTAGGGAGGCAGGGCCCGTTGGAGGGGAGGCTGGAGATGGGTTGGGGGCCTCCTAGGTGGGCAAGAAACGGCAGAGAGTGGGTCCTTTCTGCTGCAGTCACAGTCCCCACTTGGGCCACTGAGCATCCACTTTTGATCATTAGCAGATAAATAAAGAACTAGAAATAAACGGATGATTGTTTTCTTAACCATTACTTTCAGGACAGGATTATTTTAGTGCATGTGAAAGGCTCTACACTGGCAACAATCTACCTTTTGGACCGAAGAGGAAAATTGCTGCCTAAACAGGTTTAATGCCATTAATTAAGAAGAGGCGTGTGATAGGGAGAAATGCCGAAAATCTTGATTTTTATTGACTTTTAGGGATGTGGTAGAAAAATAATGTCACACATGTGTAGGCAAAACTACAGTGCCTCAGAAGGAAGGTTGCCAGAGTCCCCTCTACTGAATATAAGTTAATTTAACTCATGTGATAGGCAAACTCCTGGCCACAGCCTGCTTTTAAAAGATTTTTCTCCTTTATTTTTTATAACCTTTTTTTTTTTTTTTTGCTTTCAAAAAGAAAAAATGTTTACAATGACGTGCAGTTTTCAAAAGGAATCATGATGTTTTGTATTGGTGCAACCCTCTCAACCCCCCAAAAACAGTGTGCTTTCATTGAAGACTGAAAACGGTCTCTAAGTAGACAAGATTAATCTCTGGAAGGCTCCAACTCTGCGTTCCTTCCCAAGAGACCCCTGTCCCCTTGATAGCCATTGGGCTGACCCACGGTTTGGCTGGAACCCTGGAACTGGAGGGGGCATGAGGTCGGCTGCAGGTTTGAGAGAGGGTTGAAGGAGGAATGGCTAGGTATCCAAGTGGAGGGAGGAAGAGTTGGCAAGTTAAACTGTACCCCCAGAAAGAAGGGACAGGGGTCTGCTGAGAACGTCCCCCTAGAACAGAGATCCTTGACTTCCTTGCTTTGGGTGTCCCAAAAGAAGCCTCTTTGCTGAAATCAAACAGTGCTCCTGACTTTCAGGAGCGGGAGGGAGTGATCCTCCCCTGTCAGTAACCCTTAAAGTTTCGGGGCGGTGGCTCTGGTTTGCGGGCTGAAATCGGACAGAGCTGCCGCCCCAAGGTCCCGGCGCCCAGCTTCCGGGACCATACTTGGGCGGGTACCTTCGCTGGGCCTTCCCCAGAGACGCCATTAATTTTTAAATAGCTTTGGCTCAGTGGATGAGCAGCAAGAGTCTCACCCAAGTCTCTGGGATGTTTGGACTTCCTTCCCTTGGGAGGGAGGCTCCAAGGCCCCTTGTGGCGCCCCCAGCCGCGACACACACACTCTCAGCAAGCAGGTAGATCCCAGTCTTCAGAGGACCCGGGGTAACCCCCGCCGCCTGGGCGGCGGCAAAGCCTTCATTCATTCAGTCAGCAAATGTTTGCCGAGCACATACTGCGTGGATTCCTAATGTACCCCCTGAAAGCAAATAAGCCGGTTTCCTTTCGCCGTCATGAAGCCGCTTTCATGCTAACACGGGTACCAGCGAGAGCAGTCCAGACCGTCTCTAGCGAAACGCGAAATGGTGGTTACGTGCAGCAGTGCTTGGGGCCTGAGCCGTTGTCTGAAAGAAGGGGGATGCTTAGAGGGTATAAGGCTCTTAGTGATGAGGCCCGGGGCAAGGGACAGGGGCAAGCAGAAGGGGCGTGAAGTCTGAGGCAGAAGCAACCAGAGTGGGGAACAGGGTTAAGGAGAGGAGATTTCCATTTTTCCTTTGCTACCGCTCCACCCCACCCCACCCCACCCCACCCCACCCCACCCCGCGCCAACTCTGTAGCTTATTGGCAGAAGCTGCCTCTGCGTTTTGTGGGGTTTTTTTTCCCCGTCGGGGGAAATTGTACCAGTTGTGCAATAGGTAGTCAGTCCCTGCGGATTTCCGCCCGCAGAGGTAGTCTTTACAGGTCGTCGTGTTCCTTGCTACGGACACCAGGCGCGCTCAAAGTTTTTCGTAAGGCTGGTTGGGCTGTTTTTCCGCACCGCCCGCTGTTAATATATGCGGCAGTTGTTAGAACGACTCGGGAGGGAAAGGGAAATGTATAACGAAAGCTTATTCGTGAGCAGGAATATACTAATGGAACAATCTGATGTCTTCTTAATCCTATGTAAAAAGCTTTGTCGTCTTCCTAATATTGACTGAATGGGTAATTAATGGCTCTTCATCTAGGCGAATACCCTGTAATCCAAAGATAGGCAAAAGACAACAAGCCCAAGGTAGAAGACAAAAGGCCCAACTGTGGCCGTCACCCCCCTCCCCCACCAGGGTCTCCAAATAGGAAAGTTTCCTCTCAGGAGAAAAAAAGCAGGAGTGAGAGAATACAGGTACCTTTCCTAGGCTAGACTAAACCACAGAAACTGGTCGCCCAGGTCAGTTGACTACTCTGCCCCCCAACCCCCAGTCCTCTCTGCATTTCTTTCTTCTCAGTTCCTCTAGGGAGTCACCCCCCTTTGGATCCTGACGAGAACCTTTTCTTCCCCCCAAACCCCATCTTTCGTTTGGGGAAGTGATTGATAAGAGAGGACCAACACACAAGGTCCTCAAAAGGCTCAGACAGAGGATTGAAGCCCTCTCTGATCCAGGTGGAGACTCCTTTCTTTTACCACCGAAGGCAGAGTCTGGACAGACTAAGATAGGTGGGAGGGAAGGAAAGATATTAATAGGAGAATAAGCAGCAAAATTGTGTATATGTGTTAAAGAGTGATCAGGAGTGGTGGAGTCAACTTCATTGTAAGGCTCTGACATGAAGAGTGCCCAAAATTCTCCCAGCATGTTTTTAACAGGCTGACATTTTAATTTAAACCTTTAGAAGAAATATATTACTTGGGTTACTACGATGAGGTGGGTTCCTTTTTTTTTTTTTTCGTCAGCTGACAGCTTTTAAAATATTATTTCGCTAGGGAAATAAAAGCTTCATCTCAGATTATAGGTGGGTATTTTTGGATTTATGTGATTTATGGTCACCATGACAACTAATGCTGAATGTTAGCTACCAGCATGTCTGGGAGAGGGGAGACAGAAAGAAGGGAGAGCAAGAGAAATAGAAAAGGGAGAGGGACAAGAGCTAGAGGGGAGAAATACGGAAAAGAGAAAAAGAGGCGCGTTTTAATCCCATTTTTTTTAAAGTGACTTTAGTCAGTCCCTTGTTAGTTCTCCTCTCTGGACCTGGATATTAATGTCTATCTCATTCTCTTCTCTCTCTCTCTCTCTGCCCCCCATCTATCCCTATCTCTCCCCCATGGCTGAAACAAATTTATCCCATTCTCTTTATTTGACTTTTCCTCAGCTAGTTGTTTTCTGAGATTAAACGATGGCCTAATAAACCTGCAGTGTTAACAAACTAATGTAAAAAGGCATATAGCACGTGGGTTTCATGGTTTCAGAGGC